GGGCGCCGCCCCTGCCACGGCGGCAGGTTCAGGGCTCTGGATCCGACCCCCGGGGCAGCGGGATTGCAGCCCCACGGGGCGGTGGGAGCTCCCGGGAGCTGCTCTCCTGGTAACTACTTGTGGGGAGAAAGTGGCTCCACCAATTCCGGTCCAGATATCGATTCTCCGAGGGGTTTTGCATCTGCTTCTGTGGCTGACCTCAGGTCCCAGCTCTTCCCCATGAGTGCATTGAAGCCAAAAGTGAACGGTCTCCCCAAACCCTTTGGTTCTGGGGCCCAAGAAACTCAATATTCTTGGCAGACGGCACTGCCTTACTGTTCACTGCCGTCACCACCGTTAACAAACATCATAAATAACCCCAGCAGAGCCCGCTGAGGTAGTCAGTTTTTAATCTTTCTGCACCTCTCCATTTTCTACCAAGGCTGTTTTCAAGCCATAATGAGACATTTCCCCTGTCATCCACAGTTTCACAGTGTCTCTGGAGCACGGTCAGCGATGTCCTGGGACCACTTGCTCTTCCAGCATCGCCCATCAAACCCCTCTGGACCGGAGAGTGGCACCACAGCCCTTGCAAGAGCTGGTTTTATGCAACCCAATCGCTTAGAGTTATTCAAGCACTGAAATATTAGCCTAATTTCTCACAGCCAAACCCTTGGCTGGTTTAAATCGCCTTCACTCCTCTGAAGTCAGTAGACACATGTTGGCTCCCACTAGAAGTGGATCTAGGACAACGTGGCAGGGTTTTCCGACAGCCTGTCCCTTGTGAAGTCTCCTTCTAACCCCAGCTAGCTCAAGATGAGCTTAAACCCCGAGTCTCTCCCTTCCAGAACTTCTTTAGCATCAACTGCTGAAACTCTGCCTATGCCCGTAATCTGTATAAATGCCCGGTCCCTCGCCAAATCTGGCCTCATTCTCAGACAGCAGCTTGTAATTTCCTCCTGTTCCTTCAGCCTTAGCAACGCAGCGGGTGGCAGGCTTGGCAAGCCGGCTCACGCCGTGCCCAGGAGTGGGTGACGGCACCCGTAAAGCTGCTCCACTGTCAGCGATGGTCAAGGCACAGAGCTGCTGGCTCCTCCGCTCTGTCCTCTTTCCTCTCGGCTCCCATCCACTCATAACATCGCAGCTGCAAACACCTGCCTGGCACCCTGGGTGGATCCAGAGGTGGTCTAGGACCCTTTTTTCTCTCCTGGAGATAATACTGAGCTCAGACCGCCCTTGCTTTATACATTTCACCAGAGGGACTTTATTTTGCTGCTTCTCGGTGCCGGTGCGATGGTGTCCCCCACGTGCTGGGTGCCCGGTCATCCCCTCCCTGCCCGGTGAGGACGGAGCAGCGGCATCAGTCCTCGGCAGTATTTCCTAAGTTGTCTCCCTTTCCTCTCTCTGCTGCTCTGTCCCTGTGAACACGTCCTCCCTCGCACTGCCGTGCTGTAGGAAACACCCCAGCGTTGCTGTGCTCCCGGGCACCGACACGGGAGTGACACAGGGATGTCCAGACTCCGAGCCCTGCAGCAGCCGCCGCTACCTCTCTCCGTGGCCAGCTGCTGCGGGCTGGCTCGGCTCTCTGGGCGGTAAGTGCTGGTATTGCAGTGAGGGCTCACGGAGGTTGCAGCATCCTTGCGCTGAGCCTGACGGACACAAGCCCCCACCCACCCCCTTGCTGAGGAGTTCAGTCTCTCATCTTCTACACCTCGTTTCTGGGCGCACTGAGTTTTTGAGAGTTTTGAAGCCCTGCCAGCGGAGCTCATGTTCAGGTGCAGTTTACTCCAGCACCACTCTTGTTATAACACTGTTTCATGCACAACTGGTGTGGAGTTTCCCCACCTGATCATGTGGCCCTGCACTTTCCCTAGCACTCATGGGGTGCCTACAAGGGCCTGAAGGGCTCCTGGATCCTGCCTGGTGCCTGGAGGTGCTGGTGCTTCACTGAGAGCCCTCTAGCCTACAGGATTCCCCCTATTTCCAATGAGGGTTTGAATTTATTTCCCACAGACATCCAGGGCACAGCCTGCCCAGACCCACAGAGAGGCTGATTTCTTGCACCAGTACGATGCCCAATATCCGCCAGTGTCTGATCCTCTCCTGGGATGCATGTGTCTGGTGGTGATATCTCCTACCATCCTCTTTTGTCAACACTGGCTGAGGAAGGGATAGATTTAATTTTTAGCAGCATGCCCTCTGTGTCAATAACTCCCCCTCACGCTCTCTTCAGCAGCATGGCTATCTCCTCAGCTATCTCCTGGTCTTTTTTGTTCATTAGGCAGCTTTCTCTTGGTCTCTCTCCCCTTCTTGGTTTTCGCCTCTGTACGGAGTTTTCCACTTCTTGAACTATCTCCAGAGGGAAAAGTGACCCTTCCCGTAACTTCTGCTCCTCTTCCTCATCTGTTGTTTCAGCCAGTGTCACTTCATTCTGCACGTCCCCATGTCAGCCCCAAACTCAGAGGTGCTGGATCCAGCTTGACCTGGGCCAGCGTTGCAGAGGTGTTCACACACAGGTGCTGAGACTGAAATGTCATTGAGCTTTCCAACTCAGCCCTAAAAAAAAAATATTTGGGATTTTCTGTTGTCTTTGCAGGGTGGCTGGAGCTGCTGGGCACTGGCGGGGGGCACAGCCAGCCCCTCTCACCTTCCTGTTCAGGGTGCCAGGCCTCTGGCCTCATCTTTTCTCAGTTTCAGGGGTTCCCCTCAGGTGGCTTCACCCATCCTCCTGGTCCACAGCTCCTTGGAGACAGCAGGGCTGAAAGTGAAGAAGAAACATAGGCTGAGCATCCCCAGGCCTCCCTCCCGGGCTGCTGAAACTTGCCCCAAAGGAGATGTCACATGAAGCTGCCCTCCCACCTCGGGAACCAGCGCCCCAGAGCAGGACCCCGCTCTCCTTGTGTCCACCTGGACGTCTCCTCTGTGGGGGTCAGAGGACAACTCAGGGTGGCTGAACCTCTGCAGGCTGCCTCCCTGCCTGAACCCAAGGCTTTGCCACCTCCAGTTCATGGCACAGAGGCTCGTGGCTTGCTGGCACCGAGCTCGCTGCTGCGTGGGAGGGCAGCGCCCGTGTCTCTGGCTGCCAGGAGCTCATCAAGCTGGGTTTGGCTTGCGATCGAGTGATTTGCTGTAGGTTGGGGGTGGCTGGCGCCGCTCAGCTATTTATTTCTCCGTTGCACCGGGGAGAGGCGCGGAGAAGGGGGTACGGCGAGCTCTGCATATTGCATCGCCGGCTCGATAATCAGGCGCATTAAAATTCCAAGACGGCTCCTGACAAAGTCGCTGCGCGCGGCGCAAGGTGGCTCGCAAACGCTGGGAGCCGTGACAGGCAGGCGCGCGGGC